GACCCCTGAGGAACGCCACTCGTCACTGTTCTCCACTTGGACATTGAGCCGTTGACTACAACTCTTTGAGTGCGACCATCCAGCCAGTTCCTTATCCACTGCATGGTCCATCCATCGAATCCATGTCTCTCCAATTTAGAGACAAGGATGTCGTGTGGGACAGTGTCACATGCCTTGCACAAGTCCAGGTAGATGACATCAGTTGCCCTTCCCTTATCCACCGATGCTGTAACCCCATCATAGAAGGTGGGGTGATCGTCTAAAGGATACTTTGATGGGCTCTATAAAGACAGTGCAGAATTTAAATCCATTACCAACAGTCTTGTTCATTGCAAATGAGTTAGGCTTCTCATCTGACTGTATGTTAGGATATAACCCCTTGTGACTTAAACTGCTGTGAGGGAATAATTTTATTCCTGTATGAGCAGTTACATTAAAGCAGGTGTCTATTGTGATTTCTGCAGATAAACATTTTTTTTTCCTCTGAGAACCTTTGGAATATACTAATGACCACCAGCTGATTGCAATAAATATGAATCTGCTGGGAGGGTTAGAGGGTTGGGTTGTACCTTTTCAGAATGTTAATAGCATTGAGATGTGCAGTTCTATCACTTCTGACCCAGCTGGAGATTAGATATCTATTAAAAAAAAACCTCTGTACATTGAGGTTTTACCCCTGTTGGCAGCTGCTCACTCACTCCCCCCATCGGGAAGTGAGAAAACTCGTGGGTTGAGATAAAGACTGTTTAATAGGTAAAGCAAAAGCTGTGCATGCAAGCAAAGCAAAACAAGGAATTTATTCACCATTGCCCATGGGCAGGCAGGTGTTCAGCCATCTCCAGGGAAGCAGGGCTCTGTCACGCATCATGGTTACTTGGGAAGACAAACGGCATCACTCTGAACGCTGCCCTTTCCTCCCCCCTCTTCGTCTTCCCCCAAGCTCCTTATAAACTGAGCATGACATCATGTGGTGTATATATATCCCTTTGGTCAGTTGGGGTCACCTGTCCTGTCTGTGTATCCTCCCAACTTCTTGTGCACCCCCAGCCATCCCGCTGGCAGGGCAGTGCAAAAAGCAGAAGAGGTCTTGGCTCTGTGTAAGCACTGCTCAACAATATAACAAAAACATCTCTTTATTATCAACGCTGCTTCCAGCACAAATCCAAAACATAGCCTCATACTAGCTTCTATGAAGAAAATTAACCCTCTCAGCTGAAACCAGGACACTGTATTAAGCTGACATTTGGATGAGGGCTGGCTCTATTAAATAAAGGGACTTCAAAAAATGTGAGTGGTGTAGGAGCAGAAATCACTGCAGGAATTCATGCTGGCCCATTCAGGGAAGAGTATAATTGCAAGTGTGTAATCAGGAATGTTTCTAAAGCCACTGTTGCAGAGGAGGGAAAGCTGTAGGAATCATAGTCTATAAAATTGTCCATTCTAAGAAACACGGTTTTTGCCTTGAAGGTGCATCTTGGGTAAGCTGGGGCCTAATAAAAGGAGCAGAATATACTGGTAAAGCTATCCACAAAGGAGCTTCTAAACTGCGAGAACACATTCAACCAGAAGAAAAACCTCTGGAAGTCAACCCAACTGTAGCAAAGGGGCTTCAAGTAGCAAAACAGGCTACCGGAGGAGCTGTGAAAGTCAGCCAATTCTTAGGTAAAAATTTCCATCTCATAGTATATTATATTTTGGCCTTAAATAATAAATATTCTGTAAAATGAGAGCTGGTTTCTCTAGGCAATGAACTAGAGGAAGGACTGACCTGATGAAATCCAGTGATCAGTAGTTTGTGCCTAGTTATCTCCTGCAAGAGACATGCTTTAGGACTAATATTTATTATATGGCCTTGAGGCATCTTTTTCTTTCCTAAAAGAATAGTCTGTACAGCCTTAAGACTGGCATGTTTTTCTCAGTTTTAGAATGTTAACTCGAAATGATCTCTCTCTCTCTCTTCTTAAGTTGATAACCACATATTTTAAAAGCTGTAGTGTCACTGGTTACTAGCATACGTATTGTACCACCAGAGAATGTGTGTCTGCATGGTTTTAAATATTCACACCTGAAACAAGTCTATTAGACTACGTATAAACTCACAGATAGAAATGGCTTGGTGTTCAGAGGTGCTTGGTAACCCTAGCAGCTCTCAGTGACTTCATTCTGTTATTTATTTGCATTAATGTTTATATTTAGTGTCTAGCAACTCATCCAAGTTTAAAAGAAAACTGTGCTGGATGTTATAAAACTACTTTGAAGAGCTGAAATAATTGTAAGAAAGACTTCTCCAGAAGACAGGTCAGGAAAGAAACACAGCTTGTTCCCTATCTGCAAGTTGGGGATAATAAAACAGTGGACACAGTATCTTGAAATTAGAGTATGTGATGTGTATGTATTTCTTTTAAAGTGCTTTTTAGCTGTAAGACCAACCTTACTTGTTTCTTAGGAATTGGAGCTGAGCAGAATCTGAAAAATAAGGTTGCTTCTCTATCAGTTGGGTACTTAAGCGTGGATTAAAGTCTGTCTTTCAAATAAGCATATTTAAATAGAAACAACACTTATGATTTCACTGAAGCTTTTGATTACATGTAAGGACTTTTAGAGAAAGATGTTCTATGTTCTTGCTGAATAATGTGCATACTGTTGTCTTATGGTAGTTGAGGGAGTGTGTTCTATAGCAAGCTGTGTTGGAAGGGAGCTGGCTCCACACGTGAAGAAGCACGGCAGCAAATTAGTTCCGGAATCCCTTAAGAAAGATAAAGATGGCAAATCCACTTTTGATGGTGCTCTGGTGGTAGCAGCAAGTGGAATTCAAGGTAATAAAAATTCCTTATGCTTTTTTTTAATTGCATATTTTTCAATGCTGTGAACTCAAATAAGCTGTTCGTTTTTACAGGGTTTTCAACAGTGTGGCAAGGTTTAGAAAGTGCAGCTAAGTGCATTGCTAAAAGTGTTTCAACTGAGACTGTGAAAACTGTCAAATACAAGTAAGTTACGTTTTTATTGCTTTTGTCTTCTACAACATACTGTCATTGTGTTTGAATACTGGCAAAAAAAAGCTTATGAAAGTGCAAGGAAGCTAACTGAAATATGTGCTTTGCTCTAATTATGCAGCAAATGATAAGCTGCTAAGTGCATAGTAATGAGCATCTCCTGTAAGTAAAAAATATGAAATGAGTAAATGATTGTGGTAAGTATTTTTTAGCTCTCTTCTAGAAGTATTCTTCAGCTTCAGGCTATGTTACAAATAATGTTCAGATTTATATCTTCGCTCTACAGTATAATGTCTTTATGAAGAAAGTTACTACTTTAAACCTCACAGCTCTGATCCTGAATTTATGTAAACTTAGCTAAATTTAAGAAAAATGGAAGAACTTCATGTATCAGCAGGTCTGAGTAAAGTGAGGAGATACAAAAAACAAAATTGTGTAAGGAAATCTAAGGCATAAAATAGGAATAATAGCATAGACTCAACTTGCAAAATACAGATGTTATTAGAAAAAGATAATGGGGGAAGAGCATATAACATTTGGGATTAAGATGAACAGAGTTGTTGTGGCTGGAGGCCAGGTGCCCACCAAAGCCGCTCTGTTACTGTCGATGCTCAGCTGGGCAGGGGAGAGAAAATATAACAAAAGGCTCGTGGGTCAAGGTAAGGACAGGGAGCGATCACTCACCAATTACCATCACAGGCAAAACAGACTCAACTCAGGAAAACTAATTTAATTTATTACCAATCGAATCAGAGGAGGATAATGAGAAATAAAACCAAATCTTAAAACACCTTCCCCACACCCCTCCCTTCTTCCCAGGCTCAACTTTACTCCTGATTTACCTCTACCTCCTACTCCCGTGTGATGCAGGATGGGGAATGGGGGTTGTGGTCAGTTCAAGCCACCCCTGTAGCCCTGCCGCTACCAAAACCTTGCTGTGCAAATCCCATACATGAGTGTATGTACTGGGAGATGCTGTGCAGAATAAGGGAATATATTGAATTAGCTGCAAAACTTATGAAGTGCAGCCCTCAAAAAAAAAAAAAAAAAAAAGTGCAGTAGGTATAATAGAAAGTGAAGAGTAAGCAAAAGCATGTAGGTTAAGTGGAATAATGGAATGGGTAAGTGTAGCAAAAGAGATGTTAAAAAGGATTGCTGAAAGTGCACACAGGCTACTAGCAGAAAGTAACAAGGGAATCATCAGCATACAGTACAAAGTGGATCGGCATTCAGGGTTGCGTTGTGATGCATTTCAACCTGAAGGCTAAATAGTGAAGTTCTAGTCAGTGGTGCTTTATTGTTAATGTTTGTTTTCAGTAGGAATGTCAGGAGGTATTGTACTGGCACTCGTTTCACATAAATTCACATTACTATTTTTTGTATAGGAAATATGGAGATCAGCAGTCAACAGCCACTAAGAGTGAAAAATGATAAGTAATTAAATGTTGCAGTTAATTACAATACAATTGAAAATATTTGATATTTGATCTTTAGAATCTATCTATATAAATTAAAATTCTACATATCTCTCTGGAAGCTTTTTTTTGCTTCAGTGACAAAGATTTCTGCAACTCAAAATACTTCAGTGAATGAGCTAAATTCCACTTAATGGAAACAAAGCTAAAGGAGCATCATCACAGTGTCTCTAAATCAGCAGAAAACTCAGCTAAAATTTAGCTGCAGTACCTTTGTGGATGGAATTATAAAGAGATACTCATCATATGTGTATGTTGATCAGAATTGGAGGAAAACATAGCTTCAGAAATAATAGTTCTGCCAAAGTACCATGCTACTACCTTGGTGGGTTTTTTTACAATACTATAAATAACTGCAGTATCTACATCTGCCCAACCTTTTCCTTAAAAAAAAAAAAAAAGTTACGAATGATGTGGCTGAGGTAGGCAAACTGAAAAATCAATTATCAAATATTAAGAAATAGTCTAACTGTATTGGATTAGCTACAGTCTTACTTTAAGTGAGGTTACCCATTTTACAGACGTTACATAAAACTGGCTTATGATGTTCCTAAGGTGAAAATAATTAATCAAATTGACAAATACTGCAGTTTTGCTGTGAGATTAATTGTGATCTGCAAATCAGATGTTAGTGATTCAAGGCTGTTGCTCTATCAGAGAATTCAAAACAAAACAAAAGCACTAATTACTAATTCTTTTTATTCATTCTTTGTTCCAGCCATTATGCCATGGCTGCTGTACTGAAAATGCAATAGATTTCTGGATTCTTTGATATTGTGTGCTTCTCTCTAGCCTTATTTTGAGGTCCTCAAAGAATCTGGGCATAAGAAGCACAGGGGAAAAGTAACTTGGCGAACTGCTGGGATTCTGGTGCTGCCAGAAATACTTCCCTTTGGCCTGGTTTGTCTGATGACAGTGCTCTCTGGGGAAATGGCTGGCTGCCGGGAACAGCTGGAGTTACTGCTCTCACTATATTCTTGTCCTCCTTCAGTATGCTCTCTACTGGTGTAGTTGTGTACCCTTCTTCACACATAACTAATTAATATGAGACTGCTGACTTGCCCCCTAAAACATAAAGAAGCTAGACCCACAGCCCAGTGGAGAGACCACAAATTTTTATCTCCTGGTAATTTTTAAGAAATCTTCAAGATAGCTCTGAGCTTTTTGGGGTTTTGTGTAACTTTTCCTCCCTGCTGCCTCTTCCCCTTTGCCACTGTATTGATTCCAGGTTACTTCAGATAAGTTTTCACTGCATAATGGATTTTTTTTGTAGGGACCTTGCCACCTCCAGCATATGATCATAGCTGTATCAGCAATTCTCTGTACCCAGGAGACCCTTTAGACTGTCTGGGTTAATTTGCTTGAGCAGAGACTGTCTGGGTTAATTTGCTTGAGCGCAGTGATGCACTACCTCAGTGAGTCTACTTTTGGGACTTTGAACTAACATGCTGGTGTGTTGCTGTTACACCAGACATAGTATCATATTATGCCATGTAGACAGAGGAAAGGTGATATAGGATGAGTACTAACCAAGCACGGTTCTGGCAGTGGTGGTACCAACTGAGGAAGAAAAAAAAAAAAAACCTGAGATGATTCCAGTCCCTTTTTCTGTAACAGGCGAGAAGGCAGGACAGTGTTTGCCCTTCCTCCTCCTCAGTGCCGCCACCCATGATAACGACTGAGAAGGTTTAGCAGATGCAAGGGTCTAGCTGTGAGGACTTATCTGGGGGAGTAGAGGCTACTAAGAGTTTTACCTGAGAACTTAGATGAAAAAGTACTTAGGTGTTATTGCACACAACGACCATCCCCCTTCTTCTTATGGTTCTATAGATAAGCTTCTGCTCTTCTCTTCAAAACTAGAGGGGAAAGGAGGGAGAAAGACTGGAAGGTTTTTTTGAGGAAAAAGGGCAGAAGCATATTGGTATCTCTTTAAAGAGTAATCCATCTGATAGAGGAGCAGCCCTTACTCAAATGGCTTGGTAATTTCTAATTTTATTCTTTAGACGTTCAGGCTATGTGCTTATTATTTGTTCTTGGTAATGCTTAATTTTTACTTTCAAAAGAATTCTAGTGAAGAGAACAGTACAAGTATACATACCTATAAAACTGCTCTTTCTTAAGGTATGGAGATGATGCTGGCCATGCTACAGACAACGCTATGAATTCTGCAATCAATGTTGGTGTGACAGCATTTAACATCGACAATATTGGTCTCAAAGCTGTTGTAAAGAGAACTGCAAAGGAAACCGGCCATGCTGTGCTGGATGAATATAAAGTATTGGATAATGAGAAGAAAGATAAAAAATGAAATCAGTGAAATATTTCTCAAAGCCTTACATTAGAGATGAAACTTCCTATTTAGAAGTAACTACATTGCTCATCTGCGATTTAACAGAAATCACACTGTACTTTTCAAGCACCTGTTACTTAATTTGACATGAAAATGTAAAAATAGGGAGGGTGTTCATAGAAGGAAGAATGAAAGTTGTTTTTACTCCTTGTTCTGTATTGAACAAGGGTTTTAAACAACTAGATCAGGGTTTTTAACAACTGCAAGGATAGGAGTTTGCAGTTAATAAACTTGCCCCTGTAAGCACTTTTTCAGAATATAATATGGAATAATGGATTTATGTAGAAATATTATTATGAATATTTTTGTAATACTTTATATTTGTAAAGAAAGAGGTGATACAGGACAAATAGGATTACTAATTCTGGAACAAATAGGATTACTAGTTTTGTTTTTTAACTAACCTTAAGAGTTAGCTTTACTAAACCAGCCTTGTCTTATTTCATGTGCGCTACTAAAATAAGCTTTGTGTTTCATTGTTTTGTAGAGAGTTTCCCTTTTCAGCTACCAAACAGCTAATCTTACCCAAAGTTCATGTTAGAAGAAATGAAAGATGAACCTCAGGTAATTAGGTATTTATTCTCTTAAAAACTAATTTTTTTTTCCCATCCAGCATATAAGCAAACCAAAGACACCAAGTATTTCTTCTAAAAGAGGGTATTTGCAACTCTAGAGAAATGTATTCTCCTGTTGACTCCATAAGGAATATACAAAGATTCTTTGAAATTGAGATTTTTATGTAGAGAGGATAAGTATGTTTTTGCATAAATTATTTTTCTGTAAAAAATGTTCTGTAGAGGACACTAGGAACTTCTATGCATTCTGCACTTTTCAGCCAATCCAGAAAAATTCAGTATATATATCATGGCCTCCTAATGGAAGACATCATGTATTTGCTTTAACAAGTAGTTCTAACTGTCAGCATCTTTATTCCATTAAATTCATAGTTGCACAAGGTACATCTTTAAAGGGTATGAAGACAAGCCCTTTTAATGGAGAGATGTGTGTGGAATAGAATAGATGCTACTGTGTAGGTTTTTCATCTTATTCCTAGTGCACTGGGAAATAACTCCATATGGAGAACCTCTGAGATGCTTTTACACTGCTACTTATTTAACAGTTTATTACTGAGTTTTAAAGCTGCTACACATTCTGATATTGGTGGGACCTGCAGCAAACAGAACACCATCAACTTACAACTTAAATCAATTTCATGTAAATGGAGAAAATAACTATAAATTGTTGTTAGGAAATTATATTTGCATCAGATTGAAAAAATACAGTAACAACTAATGTCTGTTAGAATGGTAATAGGTGCACATTTTGTGGTAGCTACTGTAGGTGTGTATTTACGGTGAGAAATGTGAAACAAAGGATCTAACCACTGAAGTGTAACTTTGATTTATGGAAATAAAGATGAAATTAAAATTGGTTAATCTGTGCTTGGCCTTTTTATGATGTGAAGCTATTGTACGGATCAGTGAGTGGAAAGACTTGCACTTCTGAAGTAATAAAAGAACAGCATTGGAATATGTCTATGATAGAAACAAGCTCATCAATTAGAGCTTAAAATACTAGAAACTAAAAAGGTCCAGCAATTTCTGTTACTACAGGCTGTTACTTGCCAGCAAGTGTAACCAAGTTAAGGCTACTAAAGACTTCACACTAGCAAAAGCATTTTTGTTGTTAGGAACAATAGTGATGTATGTATTTCTGTCTTCCTTCTCCCTCCCATTTTGGATTTGCATATAGCTCATGCCCTTTGGTTTAATCTATAAACCATCAGAACAACAAGTTGTATTAAAACGGTTAAGATCCAAGTCTTACAGTCTTCAAGAGACAAAGTTGTAACAAATTGAGGGGAAAAAAAGGTAAATGCCACTGGTATCAGGCAAGCATTGTTGTACTGTTCAATCCACTGTTCTCTTCAGTTAGTCTTTCAAATTTGTCTCAAAGCTGATTAAAGTTTTTTAAAAAATAATGCCTACCCCATTTTACAGTTTTTAATGTGATACATCCATGACTTTCCTTTTTCCGCTGTTCTGAAGTTTAGTTAATTCACACTGCTGAAAATATGCTGTTTAACTTGCCCTGCTTTGGCTGTCGCTACTTGGGCCCTGGGCAGCAAATCCATAGGATTCTCCAGAGTTCCTCTACCACTTACTTCACATACTTACTGCCTTATCTCATCTCTCCCTTTTATAGGCTATATACATTAAGCTCCCTAAGCCTTATATCCTAGGTTCCTTTTCTGTTCCCAGCTTGGTTGGTTCTCCTTGGAACACTGAACATCTTTGGATGTCTGACACTCCTAGAAATAGTCTTACTAATGCTGTTTACTGAGTAAACTGCTACCCGATTTCATAATGCATTGCTATTTCCAAATTAAATTATTCAAAGTCTTTTCTGCTATAATGTTGGTCTCAAATCTTAAGAACATTACTTTTAATGACCTCTACGTCATAAGCTACTGCCATCTCTGGCATCTCCACCATTCTGTAGGTATGAACCACTGATCTTGCCTCAAGTCTAAAGCCCTTCATTTGAATGGATTCCTCTAGATTCCAAGGGTTGGTTGGTTTAATGCTGATTTAAAACCACTTTGGGATAGCCTATCTCTTAATATTCTCTGACAAACTGAATCTGTAATCCTTTAAAAAGGAATTGGTAAAAGTACATTCCACTAAAACAATGCTGATCAGCCCACCATAGAATGGTGTAGGTTGGAAGGGACCCCCAGAGGTCCTGGACTACAGAGGTCTGTAGTCCACCCTTCTCAAAACAGGTCCAGCTGGAGCACAGTATTCTGTGCCAATTCTGCTCATGCTTTGATTATCTCCAAGGATGGAGACTTTGCAACCTCTCTGGGCAACCTTTGCCAAGTTTGACTCCAGTAAAGGTAAAAATATTTCTCCCTTATACTGGGCCAGTTTTGCTTTTTTATGTGGACTCAGGTACTTTGTTGGTTATCCTTCCTAGTGCACACTGGAGAAACGTCTGGCTTCTCTGTCTTCTCTACATCTTCTCTACACCTTCCTCTTACGTAGCTGTTGACAGCACTAAGATCTCCTTATGCCTTCTCTTCTCTAAGCTGAACACAGGTCATGTGCGCCAGCCCCTGACCAGCTTGGCAGGGCCTTGGGATTTGTTTGGGAGCCCAAAGCTAAGGACTACAGCAGGTGGTCCCACAAGTGCTGAGAACGACCTCCCTCAACCTCCTGCCCGTGCTCTTGCTAACACGGCCCAGGAGGCCATTGGTCTGGTTTGCTGCAAGGTGCATTGCTGCCTCATGGTCTGCTTCTTCACCAGGGACCCCTGTGTCTTTTCCTGCGAGGTTGCACTCCAGTTACTACCCCAGCCTCCAGTGATGCACGGGCTTTTCCCATCCCAAATGTGTGACTTTGCATTTGCTTTTTGTTGAACTTCCTTAGGTTCCTCTCAGCAGCCTGTTTCTCCAGGCTGTCCAGCCCCCTCTGAATGGCAGCCCTGCCCTCCTCTCGTGTAGCAACTGCTCTGCTCGATTCATCATCATTGGCAAACTTGCCGAGAGTGCGTTCAGTCTGCCAGGTTGTTAATAAAGAATTAAGGGTATCGGCTCCGGTACTGATCCCAGAGTCAAGCAGTCATACTGCTGATTGCCACACTTTAAGCCTGATGGCCCAGCCAATTTTCCACTGACCTTGTTTCCCACTTATCCAATCTGTATCTCACCAATTTGCCTGTAAAGGTACTATAGGATACTATCAAAGTCCTTGGTAAACTCAAAATATACAGCATCCACCTGTTTCCCCTTGTCCACACAGCCAGTCATCATACCCTAGTTACTGGTGCTACAGAAATAACTACTTCTTTGTAAAAATTAATTTATGTCATAATCCAAATGCTTGTCTTCAGCAACTGGTCTACATTGCTTTTAAGCAACTCCAGCTGTTTATTGCCTTCACATAATCCAAATATATGTATTTAAGTATGACATTTTTTTCAAACCATATTGTGTTGTGACCAAGTTTCCTAACTTTTCTTACTAAAACTTTTAATCTCAAAGATAACATTAAAAGCCTTAAAACAATGAAAGTCCCTTTGTAGGTATCCATATATCTAATTGTAACCGATTTATTTGGAATAAAGGAGCAAAATTCCCATGTGTTGCAAGTGTCACTATGTTACTGCCGTCATTCTTAAAAATATTGGTGGTGTGAAGTTTTACATACTCACACAAGACGTCAGCCCACAAGATACTTTTGCTCTTCTCCCACTCCAGCTCCCAAACGATCTGCTGAAGCACCCAGTTAGACCTGCTGTCCTGTGCCAACCCAACCAGTGTGGTCTGGGCTCATCCTGATGTGCACTGTGACCTAGTTTCTGAGAGCTTACCTAGTTAGGACACCTAGTAATCCCTGAGTTGAGGCTGTGAACTGAAAGTATCCTGGAGAGGAGGTCAAAGAAAAGCCTCCTGGGGCAGAGAGAGTACACCATGGCCGGGATACAGCCCTCTGTTACCAGTGCTCTCTGTTCTCAGACTTCCTTGTGATTCCAGGGCTCTTTCTGAGCTCTCCGAATATGCCTTCTGGTTGGAGAACTATTCACTAGGCTGGTTAAGGTCATCTTGAAACAGTTCTTCACAAAAAATGGTAACAAGAAAAATGGTTACTGGTTAATACCCTGGCTGTTAAGATTTGGTGCACTGAGTTATGAATGCTAACCTAGGTCCAAGGCATTACTTAAATTACTGGTTTGGTATGGAATGTGTTCTCAATATGTACCTTAAAAAGGGAGCATTCCGTAAATCCTGAAGGCAAAATGAGCAGCTAAATTTAAATGCAGTTACAGTGCAGCACTCTTCTAAATTTGCTTCTTGTATTTCAGACAATTTTGAGTTCAATCTACACCTCAAGTGATAACTCACTGATTAGATGCTAGCATCAATTATAACTCAAGACTGTCAAAAATCACCTCCT